ACATGATATGTGTGGCAAATTAATCGACGAACACTAATCATCATACGAATGACGAGAAATATTTATTAGTTTCCTATGGGTTCCCGCCACAAAGGATAGAGATGTTGTTGAATCCTAAATATATTTTATGTAAATGTGTGAGAGTAATAATCTAGAATGTGGCGAAAATTTACCCTCCTCATTCGCAAGAAGAACCGTCTGTCTCGAGCAACAAAGAACTCACTTGTGAATTTTGTTAGATGCTGAAGATAGTCTGAACAAAAGACCGAAACGTTCGAACTAATTATTGACTAAATAAATGTTTTCGCATCAATATCGGCGGATGGCTCTTAATTAGCCCTGTTTCCTTCCTGTATAAATGGTAAATCGCTGCGTAAACCAAATAGCTCAATAGATTCGAACGGTCATACTTTTTGAGAAAGACATCTCTCTCTTGTATCGGTCACGATACCTAATTAATTGACGTTACCGGTTGCTGCGTATGGGCAACAGTCGAAAGAACGAGAGGGACGGCCTGACGCGATGGAATTTAACGGGGAGGCGACGAGACCCGCGCTAACGATGCCGCCGCGAGGCGTTGATTGACTCGTGCCCCGATTTGACACGTGCTTCGTCGCCGTTGCTGTCGGCGCTCGGCTAATTTGAAACGAAGCGACTCTCCACGGCGTTAATGAGTGTCTTGTAATGCGTTAGACGCCGGTCATATCCCCAGATCATGACGCAAGCCTACCTCGCGTACCCTTTCACCCCTACCCGATCCGTATGATTCGATGACGATCTAAGATGACTCAACTGTTCCAGAACATTTGTTAAGTGTCTTAGATTCCTACGTTGATTAACTTTAACCGCGTTTTAATTATCTCTCTCTCTATTTCATGACTTTGCCTTTAGGATTAAATAATTTAAAAAAAAAATGAGAAATGATTGATTGCTGACGCGTGATAAAAAAGTTAATTCGACTAACTCGCGATTTGGGTCACTAATATATCGATTACAAGTTTTTTTTATGAAGAAGTACAGGATTTCTGTTGTTTAATGATTTCCTTTTCCTGCGCCATTTCGCTGCTCCTGCCGTCTTGCTTTAGTATTTTCGGATTATCCCTTCCTTCTGCTAGTCCAAATGTGGCGAAGTGATACAAATTCCTTCCGACACATTTCGCTCTGAACGACAATGATGAGATCATTTATCATCGTAGAAAAAAATGAACGCCTTCCATACACCTCTCCCTACACACCATATCTTTAGCATGAATTGCCTTGTTCCCACGAAGAATTACATACTCAGAAGACCGACAAGGCGGTCCATCCGACACGGATCTCATCTTCGTCTAACGTGTCCCGCTTTTACCTGCCTATCGACCTGTGCTACCTCCAGGATAAGATTTTCGTAACCGAAACTCACGGCGAGACGATTTTCTCGCTTTAACCGGCGTCTCAGTCGGCGACGTAGGTGTAAAGCGACTCGCGGAAATTTAATTTGAAGCTTGGTTAGCCTTTTCATTAGAGAGTCTCCTGCGCTGTCATGTCGCCTAGTCCAGAGAAAACATTTTCTCAGAACGTTGAAGTAGACATGTCGTTATTGTAATGGTGCTCTCGCCAAGTCTCTTCTAATCATTACCCGGTTGTCTTCGAGCCGAGAAGGTAAATAAATGCGCGTCGTGTGTCTTATAGTTTACGATCTCTGCTTCGTTACGTATTTGACGCCACGCCGTGTAGAAAAGGTCTGCGCAGGAAGATAGATGCCAGCGGATAAAAGTAAAACCTTCTAAACGGTGAAAGTTGAAAGACGGTGTCGAGTTTTCAATTTTCGTCCGACTCAACTTCTATATGTTGATGAATTGAATAATCATTTTGTGCATCGTCTCGTCTCGTATTCTTTCGCGCGCGGACAGAACCGGTATGTTATTTATAAATCTTCTCTTAGGCCAATTCTGCGAATCACTCACATTCGCGCCAGCTGCTCTTTTGCGATTCTGTACACATGCACGCGTGCGCGCGGTACAGGAAGCGTTCCTAATAACATCGGCCACGCCACTTCAGCTCGCTTTAATGATCACAGATTAATTAGTTCATTAGGGATAAGATTAGGATTTAGGATTGGGAAAGTTTTTGCTGATCATGCTGATAGCGCGAGACGGCGCTGTCGATGTGATTGAAATTATACGGCGGCCGTACCGCCGCGCGGCACATAAGGAGATGTGTGCTTAATGTCGGAATTATTACGCATCAATTTTGCGCGTTAAGCCGCTGATCGTTGTCACCGTCGCGGAGTAGTAATTAGATAGAGCCTCGCAGGTGTATTACGCGCAGCGAGCAGCGCGGATCGGGTTGCCTTCCTCGAGGCTCGTTGTCGTCGATGCCTTCTCCGAGAGAAAGTAATGTGCCGCGCTCGCGACTATACGATTTCCCGAACAAACGAATCGTAATGACGCGGATGCGCGGCAAGCGCGAATAAACGAGATCCCGCTTTTAAACGTCGGACAAGTGCGCGGCAAGGGAAAACAAGCCGCGTCTAATTTTCCTTGACTCGACTCCTGTCTTGACTGACTGTCATGTGGCGCGCGACGACCGTGATCGGCACGCGCGAGACAAGGCGAGATCAAACGAACGCGATCCTCAATCGAAATGACCAGTCAATTAATCGACCGGGCTGCTTTGTAAATCAATTGGTTTGTAAATTATTTGTTCGAAGTTGGTTAAACAATTACCGAGTTAGGATACGAAGTTGTACTCTATAACGTAACGGGCGATCACGTAGATCTCGTGTCTGTTGTCCTCGACGCGGCGCCGATATTTCAATCGTTCGATAGGACAGCTTTCTATCGGGTGCGACCCAGGCCGGATGTCATTGAATGAATGACGTTCGCCACAGCGTATAAATTTAAATCAAGCATTCGCGCATTATGCTCCACGGCCGCACGGCTCTATGGAGCCATTTACTATGAGGCAAACCACTAGATACCATTAGATACGACCTACGCGAGGTTCGAAGGTGTCGAAGGCTCTGGCTCCCTTCGACGCTACGAATTTACAGGAACGTGACGAATGGTTTGAGTAGTGTAGAGCAGTTGAACGCCCACACGCACGCATATACCCCGTAAATCATGGAGACACAATGCCGATACTCGTTTATGTTTTATAGATTTGCATAAATCAATTTAGTGAATCCCACTGATTGTACAAACACTGATTGACAATCATAGGTTTAATAGCTGGCGAGAGTGCATATATTAATTTAGAAGATTTCATTTATTTTAAACGTCATAATTCAAGTTCATTTGCGCTCATGTATTACTCGAGACATTTTTCTACTCTTAACATATACGTAAGAATTTAGTTAGCCATGGCCGTGTTTGACCATTGTTCTTGTATTTTCCTAAGATTTGAAATAATATCTTCGATAGATAAAGGAATGTACAATACTGTTTTAGAAACTATCTTTAGGGGCCGGTACCATAGTCTTCGATTAACGTGATCCTCCGATTAAACTCACTCTTCGTCTCTTTCTAGGGGGACAGTTAGAAAGAGATGCAGAGTGAGTTTAATCGGAGGATCACGTTAATCGGAGACTGTGGTACCGGCCCTGTGGGATCCACAGATGCATTGCGGCAATGCACAAATAGGATCTCCTGGTAAAATGAGAGCCACTGATGGCGGAAAGCATCGCCGCCGGGACGCAGATCAGAGACCGTTCTGAGGCACAGGGGCCCCCATTACTTGTGTCCACAATGTCGGGATATTAACCCGCTTCACCTGAATGCTCGTCGTGCACGCTTCGCGTATTCCTCACGGTTCCCTCCGCTGGCCGCGGGGACGCCGCCACGCCGCGCGCCGCAGCGAAGAAGCGGGGAAGAGTGCAGAAGGAAGGAGGAAAAAGGAGGAAGAGATACGGGAAACGACCACACTTTACCTCACCTTGCATACGGGGGCCCCGGCTTCGTCGTGCACTCGTAGAATCGTGCCACTTGTCCTGGAATTCTCGGGGACAAGTGGCGTCCGAGTGGGTCTTCTTCCGCGTTCGCGTGGACGCGCTCGAATTCTACAGGCATTTTCTACTTACAGTAAATAAGGCCACTTGCGGAGGACTTGCTCGGCACCGCGGGGTACTCGGAATAACTTCACCTATACCAGCACGGTGCGCGATTCGATCTTCACTTAATGTTCTCGCGGTAGAGATCTTCCGTGAGCTAAACCTGTCTGTCACGAAAAATATGGTAAACAAAAAAAAAATAAAATAAAAAATAATTTTTCATCACTGTTTACGATTAAAAGCTAAATATTCGCGTTTTTGAAAAGTAGCTGTGAATTAATTCACGACCGTTGTTCACGAGCGTTCGTCGATCTTCATTGGCGTGCGATCGATTATTCTGTATCGTTCTGTAAGTACATCGAGTGCAAAGCGGGTGCACATTGTACGACAATGACTCCGCGCGCAGCCTACGCGCCCGTGTTCTTTCGCAACGCTGACGCTAATAAGGATAATAACTCGATTTTATTGTCCACCTTTGCCCTTTCCCCCCTTTTCCTTCAGGAAGACATTTTCTGGCGTGACGTGCCCCCTTTCGATCCTCGCGCTACATAATGCGCCACTTTCGCGCCGTTCCACTTAAACCTAATGCACCGTGGCATCACTAAACGCATCTTTGATCTTAATACCGGCGATATAATGCGCAAAATTAAATTAGCCGCTCTGTTGTATCACGGAGCAGGTCTTTCGCAGGAACGTGACACCTAAATTGATCAAATTTTTCTCCCTCGCTCTCTCATTAGTTCGCAACACGAGTGAGAGGAGAACATTAATGCGGTCATTTATTATGAGAAAGAGAGAGGCAAAATAGACGTACACAAGTACTTCCTCTGACTTTACTCCTACCCTCTTTTTACATTTCTCACTAATATAGTTAATACTAATAATATATAATTTAATATAGTTGATCTGAGTATTTAAATCACTTTTTACAATTATACACTTTTATATTTATGTGTTCATCAAACATTAGATATAGCGACTGATTAAGGGACGACTACAGGGAGACTTGCAAATCGAAGCGGAACTTTCGTACGACGGGGTGACTAAAATGCGTACGTGACGCATCAACATTTTCACGATGACCCAGCGCTACATTCTGCAACGATCTAAGAGAGGCGTAAACAGACCGGCTATATAAACCACCAACGGAGGACCGACCAAGAGGATACGCGTTGCGGTACAGTCAGCCGTGCAAACTCGACCTCGATTTTCCTCCATCGCGACAATCTTAATATTATGACGCGGAGTCCGTTTCCTGTTGTAATACTTTACGCAGAATTATTAGATTTGAATAATTTTAATGAGATTTTCTTCGGAAATTAATATCATTGGGACGTTAGCATGGTTCTGCTACGCGACGTTTCGCCACGAAGGTCTCCGCGCGTAATTGGTACCACGAGAATTTACGATCCCTTGTTCTCCAAGCGTTTTAGATAATGTGTGAGATATTGGCGGTCAATGGACATTAAAATAAACGATGCTTAATCGACGAGTGTCAGAGTTAAGTAGCCTCGTGTATGAAAAAAAGAATCTCCTGTATCTCTGGATGTTAATAGTTCGAACGTGACACGGCGCTGCTTTACGACGTACTAGATAGTTCCCACCGGTTTCGCAAATGACTCTTTAGTCGAGCACCGCCGATTAGTATAGCCGTTAAGAGTCGCCAGCGGAATACATTTTACCGATAACACTGTGTATAATATCGGCACGCCGAGGCACGGACGCGTTTAACCGCGATTTTGCGACGCGATTGTACCGGCAGGCATGGTGTTACATATTAGTGTTAATAATTCACGATTTTATGGCTGCGAACTCGTGAAGTTGGCATTACCGCGGTGCCTCGGGCACAATGCAAGTACAGTTTGCATCGACGTGAGCGACTCTCTTTACCATTACTCTTTCCCTCTCGTCTTCCTGGTGCGCTCCCAGCATACCTTATAAAGGTTTAAACACGCCGTAAATCCTCGGTGCTAGATAGCGTTACCGAATCGCGATGATTTTTGCGACGCCGACGGGCCGCAGTGTTTATCAATAAATCAAGCGACGACAGAGCCGAACTAATCGGCGCGGGGCACTACTCTCTTTCTCTCTGTGTGTTTCTCTGTGGGTGTAAATTGAATATCACTCGCGCATACAGCAAGTGCCACGAAGAAAGAACGCGATGAAAGAACGGGTTCGCGCACCGTGAAACGCGATACGGTCTCGATACCTTTGACCGATATTGATCTCCTACATTGTAAAAGGAAGAAAAGAATGACACGCCGTACGAATACGGCGCGAAATGGTCCGGTCGTAAAGTCGCGGGGCGTAGGTGTTAACTTCTCGCGGTGCCAATTCAATCGCGAGCACAAAGCACCAACGGATATGAGGTTCGCTGAGCGAAAAATCTTAATTACGAATTTCGCAGCCATCTGATTTACGTTATTTGCCAGTCGACACGTTTCACCCGGCGCCGATTGCGACTTTATCTCCCTCTTTTTAAGCCGTTCGGCCTTTGTCGCGATGATCTACGATTAATATCGATACTTTGACTGACTTTGCAGACTACTTATAGACCCAAGGATATTTATATCAAACAATCCGGGCAATATAAATTTTTTATCTTAATCTTATATCAAAATATATTGTAATATCAGTTATAAGTTGTACAAAACGATACTGAATCAAATGATTATGGATATAAAATGTATTAGACAGAAATTCAAATAATAAATATTACAAACGAATCTACTTTTAGCTGTGCTTTCTTTCTTTGGGGATATCACTCTATAAAAAAAGATATGATTTTATACGTTACTAGCTGGTTACCCGGGCTTCGCCCCGGAGGACATGTGTATTAAGACACGCAAATAGTCTCTCTCTCTCTCTCTCTCTTTCTCTTTCTCTCTCTCTCTCTTTCCCTCTCCCTCTCCCCCCCCCCTCTCTCTCTCTCTCCCTCTTCCTTTGCCTCTATTTCTATCTTTATTTTTCGTTATCTATTTTCTGGAAACTGATTTCTTTAATTGTTTTAATATAATAAAGAAATAAAGAATTAAAAAAATCGGTTTCCAGAAAAAGACGTAGTTCTACGTCAAAACTACACACTCTATAGCACTCTCCGGAAAATTCTACCCCTATTTCATATACTTGTGGCAAAAATTCGGTCCAATAGTTTTTAACTTAAAAACTATTGGACCGAATTTGTATTAAAACCATATCAAACATGGGTAGAATTTTCCGGGGAGTGCTATAGGGTGTATAGTTTTTCATTATCTATTTTCTGGAAACCGATTTCTTTAATTGTTTTAATATTTAAAAAATAAAGAATTAAAAAAATCGGTTTCCAGAAAATCGGTAACGAAAAAATACACACTCTATAGCACATTCCAGAACATTATACCCCTATTTCATATACTTGTAGTAAAATTTCGGTCCAATAATTTTCAAGTTATTAACGTTCAAACATACACCACCCGTAAGGATTTTATATATTAGTATAGATATAGATTTAAGATTAACCAAATTGTTGAAAAAGAATTCTCTCTTATATCGCCCACACCAAATAATCAATCCTTATATCACTCCCTTTATTCCTCGGATAATAAAGTTACCTTGCCGCGAAATTGCCATTTAGTCAAGCTTGTATCTCGGTAACTTTCAAGGAGAGAATCTATCGCGCGCGCGGTGGCTGCATCGCCCGAGGGCTTCCGCTGGCGCCTGTGATCGGCATTTCTCGGCCTGTCATTACCATACGCACTCATCCGTTGCACGCACAATCTCGCGTGCGTGAGTACGTGCACGCCAATCACCGCGTGGGAGTACGGCGACGTCGAAGTGTCTCGTGTGCGATCTCGCAGGAAGCACGAGAGCACGTGCCGACCGACCGGGAATTCGATACTCGCGATAATACCGTCGTTCCGCCGATCCGCTACTATCAGCTCATTCGTTTTAATGCGGCTTAAGCGACCGCTTCGTTCCGCTTCGTACGCGAAACGACGTACGATAGATCGTGGTTTAATGACGTAACGCCATAAACTTCACCTTGAAATTAATAAAAGATGCTCCTAAAATTAATCCGAAATGTAATAAAAGTGTGATTTTGCTGATTTATATTACAATATTGTGCAAATTCTCTCTTAAAATTCAGTATTTACTTTCATGTAAGGAATACAAACTTAAGAGTTAATTGGCGAAAGAGCATTTTAATTTGAACGCGAATGCCAAAGTGCAATGCGTGGCGATTCGGCGATTGCTTGCATGTGCTGTTGGGTTTTGATAGGATGTAACAAACATCGATACAATACGTCACCGTGACTTGTTCCCGGATTAGTCATCGACGGAAGTCGCCGTTCTTAATCGTTATGCGCGACGAGATGCGCGTCGGAACTTTGATCGGTTAACTACCTCGCGGCCTTTAAAAGTTTTAGAGACGCATGCGTTAGAAATCTAAACTGCTTTAATTTTTCCTATATAATTAAAATAATTGTGTATATTCAGTTTGCTATATTTAATTTCTTATAGTCATCTTTTATTTTAAACAATCTTGTAAATTTATCGCTGCCTACTGGCGCCGTTATATTGAAATGTTTGATTATTTTTATAATCAACGGCATATCGATGGCAATCCATCTCTGAGACTTGAGGTAAGCTATTGAGGAATAACTAGCGAGAAGAAGAATTATAGCACCTTTTCTGCACAAGGCCTCGCGTATGGCATGTCGACAAGATAATTATTGCAAAAGCCATTTCCACAGGGACGATCGTCTAGTTGCGCGTTGTAACGAGGCTATACGCGTCGTTACGCATGCGATTATCGGGAGTGAAAGATTACGATATGCAACATGAAGTCGCCCTTGTGTGCGATTAGATGTACTACTGCGGATGCGCATCGTTCGATGCCTCTCACAATTATGCTTCTCGCAAAACAGGAACGTACTCGTACATGACGTATATTTCTGAGAATCCGCAGAGAAACGAAGCGAGAGTCACGAAGAAAATTCGCGCAAATTCTTTTCTTCTATTCAGAAGAAATCTCAATGTTTACGATAGCGAGGACGCATCGACGACATGCGTATAAATGCGCGGGTCCGGCAATAACAATAGCAAAATACTTGCGTATGCCCGCTGATATTTGAAATAGACGCAATTTCACAGAGAGATTGAGATACCGACTTAGCGGTAATTCAACGACGAAACTCTTGAGGAGTGTATTTCGTATGCCTGTGGCTCCATTAATATTCTCTCGATAAGGGACGCGAGATAGTCGATCTCACATTCTCGAGTCGTAAAGACGATTCGACGACGAGTTTTATTGGCTCGTAAATCGAAAGACGATCTCACCGTCGCGTCGCGTCGGCGTGGCGGTCCGTTTTCGCTCGACCGCGAAAATCTATCACGCATGGCGAACGAATTCCGCGATGATGATTGTCACAATCAGGACTACAAGTCGAGAGACAAGTATCTGTACAGGTCGCGTAACCTGCTGCGCGTTCGCGATCTGCCACGATAATCTACTCGGGTCGACGAGCGTTGTGCGGGTCCATTCCTCTCTCCGCTGGCCGCCGAAGACGCGTAAAGGTTAACATCGACGTAAAGGCCTCCGCGGACGTTCCACATCACCGTGCCCGTTGCCATTTCTGGCAAGTAGATGCTCTCAATTGCGAGGACCATAAATTGAGCGCGATACGTTAGAACTGATACGGAACACAGATCGATAAAATATTAATACGGGAGAGAACGACGGTAGTTATATCACTGATGCGTAGAAATATTATTGATTTCGTCCGCTGGATTCAAACTGCCTTTCTTTTTATCCCATCCCGTCGATGCTTTCCTAACGATCGCGTCTCATGTCTTATACATAATGCCACGTGAATGGCAAACCTATTAACGGGTGATTATCTTTTTATATTATTATTTTCTTATCCTCGCTCGTTCCTTTATCTTTTTTACAAAATTTTAATGAGGTGGACTCTCACTCTAATGAATCCTAACGGATATTTCAACTGTAAAAAGTTCTGGTATCAGATTGCGATGGCGGAGTGCGTATCGAGAAATTGTTCGTGCAGACACGTGGTAATTAATACCACGTGTATATCGGAACGTCTTATTATTATTGCCCCCAATTGAGCTCTAAAGTCGTTTCTGAATTTGGATACCGTTAGAATGAGAAACCAAATCAGCACACTAGCAAAAAATTTTGCTTGCTGGGCTGTATAAAAAAAAATAAAGAAATATACAAATATTTTGAAAACTTCATAATTAGTATTAAATTAATATGTTGGCCTAATACGTATAATTTATTATATTATGACGTGTTTGAAAGTAAATGACAATAGCAAATATGTTGACAAACAATTAAAAATGTGATTATCATTGTGTTAGCGCGAGATTTTGTTTCGCATCAGTTTATGCATGCGAATAATTTCAGTGTGCCAGAGCAATGGGTATTGTTGCCTCTTTATGCGCATACCGTTACGGATATTATGTGCTGGAATACCGCATGCGTGTGGCGTCGCGTCGCCCATGGCGAGTGCTCCGCGATCGACTTGATGAAACGAAAGGAAGCGATTGTTCTAAGAGAGGAGTGAGCGACTCGCGCGAGCGCGTTTTCATCCATCCCTGCTCTTTCACCTCGATTCTTCCTCTCGCCGGTTGTTGCGTTCAATGGGCTAGGATTCAGAACAACGGGGAAAGGCGGGGGAGGACGGGGGGCCCGATCAGTTGCCAGGAGGAAGAGCGAACTTGTAAAATCACTCGGAGGTCACTCGGAGCACGCGAACTGGCGCGCATACCGCGCGAACGGTCTCGATACGCACCACCGCCCGCTGTCGCTTGTCTATGATGCGCCTTGTCTTCGGCTTCTCGCCATCGCGAAACGTAAACGCAATGCATCTTGCGATCCATTAAACTATGAAGTGCGACGATATGTAATACTGTAAAGGCTATTATATCAGGTTACGAATCAGGATTGAGATTGAATTGAAATTTAATCAATCAGAATAGGGAAAACTGATCTCAAGTTTAGTGAACTTTGCTATGATTGGTCAAGTTTCAATCCAATCTCAATCCCAATCCGTAGTCTAATACGGGCTTAAGAGTGATATGCTAAAGAAAAGCTACTACACTATGCGATGCTCAATCTGCGCGAATGTATGCGATACAAATAATTTCTGAAAATGAAATTAAAGCTATAAACAAAAGAAATTCATAGATTTCCAAAAATTTACAAACGTACAACAATAGAAGTGAGATTTTTGTGTTTATTTATAAAAAGATTGGAAGGGTGCACAGCCTCCCTCGAGGCCTAATCATTGTCGGTACAAGTCGCGTGTCCTAAATTCGAATACATGCGACGCTTCAAAACACTAGGTAATAATTCTCGAGAAAATATGGAGAGGTTGTGATACGTTGCTGAAAGTGAAAAGGCGATTAGGGATAGGAGGCAGGGGGCGAGCGGGGAGAGAAAGCGAAGGTACACGCAGTGCGAGCGCGAGATCGCGGAGGAGCATCGGTACCGGTGGTGGCGATAGCCGCGTTACACTTGAAATTGCTTTCTCGCTTCTCTCTCTCGACCGCGCGGACGGCGCGGCGCGCGCAAAAATCGCATCGCGATCGGCTCTCTCGGCAAGACGAGCGCGCGCGCGATCGGGGCGCGGGCAGCCAACCC